CCACACAATTCTCCACAACAACTGATTTTTTTCTGCTACACCCGACAGAGCTGCTTCGCTTCTTCTTCTTCTTGTTTACTACTGGTGGTTGGCTTTGGTCGCAGTACCGCCACCTTCTGCTCTGGAGTGTACACGCTTCGCCTATGAGAAAAAGGAGCAGCGCATGAACCGTACGCAACACACATGAACCGAACCGAGACAGTCGAACCGAACGGTTCGGATGGTTTTCATAAACCGTTCCATCCCTAATATATATATATGTATATTTTTTCCTTAACACAAATCGGTGAATACAACTGCATGAATCTGCTGTTGTGAGTCAGAAATTTAACTTTAAAAGTTACACCTCCATTTTCACTTTTGACACAAATATCAAGAACTTTGAAGCAATTTAAAGAACTGCTCTCAGAATTTCTAGAATGCTTGTGAGAGAATATTCACATAATTTCTTCAATATTAGAGAATCAATGAGAGTTGAGAATCAATGAGGAAGCAGAAGTCCAGGCCAGAAGATCAGAGATCCAAAGACATACCGAAGGGGAATCCAAGCCGGGGTCAGGAGAGAGATCCAAGGTCATTAGCAGGCAGAATCCAATGGAAGTCCGAAGGCAGGTCAGGCAAAACAGATCAGAACAGGGGCAGGCAAACTCAGAAGTCCAGGAGCAAAAACAATTCGGGACCAGAAACACACTGGGTATGCTAGAGAACTCTCACCCACGGCTCGAATAATCTGGCACTGATGGCTGGGACCAAGCAGTTTAAACTAGAAAAGGAGAATCTGATGGTTAAAATAAAAACTGGGCAGAGCTAAGCAGGTGGAAGAAATAAACCAATAATCAAATAATTCATCAGTGCCAAGATCATGATAACATCTGCCAACTTTCTTACCTTTGTCTTGATGAGACCTGCTTCACAGCCACATCTGTCTCACTCTCTTGTTTTAACGGTGAGTCGAAGCAATCAAACGGTATTTCATTAGATAGAAAACTTTAAATCAATTTCACTGTATGATCTGGTTGAACTGTAAAGTGCCTTGATATGACATGTGTTGTGAATTGGCGCTTTATAAATAAACTGAATCGAACTGAATTAACAGGTGACGAGGAACACAGCAGCTCAGATGTCAGCTTTCACTCCTTTAAGAGCAGACAATGGTTCGGAGCTTCTGTCCGCTCAGTCAGCGGGACACACCTGTTGGTGAGAGCACAGCAGAACATGACTGGAACTTTAGTCTCATCCAGATTTCGTTTTGTTAGTCAAATGAAGTATTGACCCAGTGTGTGTTCCTCCACCTCCAGGCCTGTGCACCACTCTTTCATTGGAACGTCAAAAGGAGAGGGGCGGAGTCAGGGAAAACCCCTGTGGGTAATTGTCTCCTATTGGACCACGCAAGCAGGGTCTTGACATCTTTCTCTCCCTGCAGAGGAATCTTGATGGATGCTGACTACACGGTTATAAAGAACAGTAAGAAAAACAAAGATCTGGATGGAAAACCTTAAACCCCCTCAAAACTTTAAGTCCTTGTTTTGTTTTCTAGGAAACGATCAGCGTTACTGTGAGGTGGGCTTCAGTGCTGACATCACCAAGGTGAAGTGGGGTGTGCAGAGCCACTGTTGTTGTTGTGACATTAGCACAGTCCTGATTACAATCTAGATACAGTCCTCAGGTCCTCTTGTCATCCATTATTTAACATTAATTTGGTCAGTCAGAGTTATTCATTCGTTCCGCAGGATTTTTGGAGTTTCCTTGCTGAAGTATTAAGGCTGGTTTATGCTAAGAAACCAGGTTGTCTGCGTGTGTGTCGCAGTTAACGCAGATATCCGCAGACACTCTGGTGCACCTTTCCAAAATTGTAGGTGACCGCAGACAGTGCCGCAGACAGGAGGCCTCTGATTGGTCGAATCTGCATCCGCTCTACACTATGTGTATTTCCTGTTTGATACCTTACTGGCTTATTTTGTTTGTATGACCGCCATTGTGGAAAACGGCTTGTGAAGATGGAGCAGCTAGAAGAGCGAGGTGCGCGGGAACGCTGGGACCCTTTTTCCACCTGGATCGCCGCTCTTTTTCGCCCTCATGTCCCTCCGTTGTCGCACAAACTTGCCCCAACTTCTTCACCGCCTCGGCCGTATCTAGACCAACAGCTAGTTTGTGATTGTCCCTCTTGTTTTGTAGTGTGGAATAACATAGCGCAGACCGCGCTTCAAAATTGGACATAAATCAAAAATATTTGCGTCATA